ACCACTTGAAGTGCTTTTTGGAAGAAAAGGTCGATGGAAAGAAGGGGATCTTCATTCTCAAATCCTTTGATGGTTTACCTTGAGAGGTTGAGTCGAGCTAGCGACGTTAAACTTAGCGCTTCATGGGAGGCACCCCATGTTATCTTTCATTTTATTGCATTTTACTTTCTTCTCTATTTTTCTTTACACTTTTATTTTTGATATATCATGCTCTCACTTGTGCTTATTGTGCTACCATTTCTCCCTTGTGCTTTATTTTCTTTTACATCGAGGACGATGTAATTTCTAAGTGTGGGGGGTGGACAAAATATTGGAAAATTTTGAAATTTGGAAATTTTGAAACTTTTTGAAACCTTGCTTGGATGAGTCATTGTGCATAATGTTGGGTAAATTTCTCATCTTTGCTTGAAGTTGTGATCACTCCCTCTTTGTTGGTTTGTGGTTTGATTTGGTGGTGCTTGTTGCGATGCAATTTGTGATTGATGATTTGAGGTATAACACATGATTGATCTATTCTCTTGCCAATTGCCTTGTTAACCACTTAATAAATGAATCAATTCTTGATCTTGTGTGTTATGCATTGCTAGTGAAGGCTTATGTGAGATTCCGGTCATGGTTATTTTGCTAGAACTTGCCTCATTACTCTCTAAGTGAAGTCTAAGATTTACATGTTTAGAAATGATTTAGGCCATTTTTGTTTAGCCCGAGCCTTTCAAGCCTACCCTTTACACATGTGTTTACCACTAGTTGTCCCCGTTGAGCCTTTTGTGTTTGTTTAATAAGTGCTAAGCACTTGTCCCTTCATTGTGATTGTTTTTCCTTGTGTTAACCCTCATCATTTAACCCTTAACCCCTAGCCAAAATATTTCCCTCCACCCTTGAGAGAATAGAGCATTTATTCTTTTTCTTTGAAGAGATCTTTATTGGAGCTTGTTTTGTTAACAATCCTCTTGATAATTTTGTCTAAGTGTGGGGGTATTGGTTCATGGAATAAGTTTGTTTATTGTTTTGCAATGAAAGAAAAGAAAAGAAAAAAAGAATGATGAGAAAATTGAGAAAAAAGTCATGAAAAAGAGATGAAATGAGAAAAATGAAAAGAAAAGAAGAAGAATAAAAGTTTGAAGTTTGTTTTGAGAGTTGTACTCAACCCCCACCATTTTAGAGGTTTGTTTTGTACGTCCTTTTAAGTCTTGTTTGCTCCTTTGTTCATAAATGTCATATCTCTTCTAGCTCCAATTGTGAATAAATGTGAAGTTCTCTCCTTTGTTTATTTTCCTTACCCCTTCTTTGTTAACCATTCACCCTTAGCCCCATTACAAGCCAAATAAAAGTCCTACTTGATCTTAGCATGCAATCTTAGAGTTGAACTAGTGGGAGTATGAAGGGCAAGCCTATGGAATCTCATTCAAAGCCAAGTTTTACATAATCTCAACTTAGCATTTGTGCACACTTGATCATCACACACCTTAAACAATTTTGGTGCTTGGTTATTGGCTTGAGAAATGAACTTGTGTGGAAGGCTAAAATGATTCTTGAAACAAGTTGTCTTGTAGCAAGTTGGTTTGTGGTTTGATAGGTTGTGCAAAGTGGGAGTGTGATCGATTTCATTGCTAGGATGGTGATTTATTTCTTGTTTTTGCTTGAGGACAAGCAAAGGTTTAAGTGTGGGGGAGTTGATAAGTGCTTATTTGTCTATATTTTTGCTCCTTTCACTAAGCCATTTTGTTTATTGATCATTCCAAATTTCATTAGATTAGGACTAATTTGTGTTATTTTGCAAGGAATTTGGTTTGAAAAGCTTTGGAAGCAAAAATGAATATTTTCATGCATTTTGAAGGACATTGGAGTCAAGTGGAGCATTATGGATACATTTAGGGTTCATGGGAGCCAAGGAGAAGCTAAGGTGATGAGCAAAACACTTCCAAGAAAGCCTAAGAGTGGTGCTTGCAATGGTCTTGGTCATTTGGGCAAACCAAAGCAAAAGAGAAGCAAAAGATCATGCAAATGCAATTCCTGACCTGTACGTCGATGTCTTAGTTTTTGGACCATATCTCGAGCTACAAATATCCAAATTAAGTGATTCTTGCGCCATTTGAAAGAAGACTTGAAGATCTACAACTTTCATGAAGACACCGAAGCCTAATTCTGAAGACAAAAGGGTCAAAATTAGCCTGCAAGTCGAAGTTCTGTTGCAGATCAGCACTCGACGCGTCGAGAATTACTCTCGACGCGTCGAATCTTGGCAGAATGTCGCGATTTACATTCTGTAATTTCTCGACGCGTCGAGAATTACGCTCGACGCGTCGAGCCCCCCGTCTCTGCTCTATTTTAGCTGAGTTTTCACTCATTTGTACTCGGTTTTGAACCCCATTCGAACCCTAACTATTTTCTACTCTTTCTTTTCATATTTTAGTATTAGATTAGGTGTAGATTTAGGTTCTTTATCATATTTCAAGCTTGTATTGAAGGATCTACACTTGGATTTCAAGATTCTACCATCCATTTTCAATAGAGAAGCTTTCCTTCCTTTTATCCCTTTCTTTTGCAAGATTTATGTTTGTTACTTATGCTTTTGTGTTCTTTATGTTATTTAATCATGAGTAGTTAGTTTATGGACTTGAGTTAGGGTTGTATTATATATCTTGATGCTTGATTTGTGATTATTGCATAAAGGGGATTTTGCCTACCTAGGGTTCTTGAGTTTATGAAGGATTTGTGTTTGTATTTTGTTAATGCTTGGTGTACAACATTCATTGACATGTTTTGGAGGATTATTGGCCTCAATGAGAGTTGGGTCAAGATTTCAAGCCACTCCTTGCATAAATCCGATTTTTCCTATGAAAATGGGAGAAATTGGGGGTTTTAGATGCTTTGTGTTCTTGAAGAACTTGGAGTTGATTCACCACGAGAGTGGGGCAATTCCTTGTTCTAATCCTAGCTAATTTGCTCACGTGAGTGACTTATAGACTAGGATTCCTACGTGCATCCCCTCTATTCCTTGGTTGTATGATTTTCCCCAATCCTTAGGTTGTGCTATGCATCTAGATGATAATGCTCCCTAGCTTGAGTCATATTTCTTTATTTTGTGTTTATCTTTGTGTATATGTGTTAGTCTTATCATTTCCTTAAACTTGTAGTTTGCTTAGCTTCTTGTTGATTTCCTTATGCTAGTGCCTAGTTTATTGTGATTGCATATTGCGTGCCATATCCCCCAATCCCCTGAGGACGATATAACACCCGAGCTCACATCTTATTTTTGCTACATCAACTACATCAATGCATTTTATGAAGTTTTTGCATAGGAAAAAAAAGATGGTTTTTAACAAATGGAAAGATGGTTTTTGGGAAATTTTTCTCGTGCAAGTTATGTTTTTTGTGGGACCCGCTATGTGAAAGAAAAGGGAAAACAAATGTGAAATGCTGTGTGTGGAGTGCATGGAGTGCACCCAGTAGGCGCATTTTTAGAAACTTTTTCAATTTTTTTTAATATATTGTCATTTTTTTTTTCTTTTTCTCCCTTTTTTTCTTGCGCTACTTTATCTTTTCTAATGACACTTCAAAAACCATGAAAAAGTTTGAGCTGATGAGGATGTTCTAAGTAGATCTTCTTATGGTCGTTACTTTGACAGCGATGACTACCACGTCCCTGAAGCTGCCAATTCTTTTATTTTATTTTATCTTATGTCTTTTTTTTTTTTTCTTTTTTTCCTTTTTTGAAATATTAGGTATTTTGTTTAACTTATGTCAGAATGTCATATTAATCCTAAGTTTCAAAATCTTTATCTCTACCTAAGAGTTGTTAGAGAATACATTATCTGTACACTCTATGCACAAGAAGTTTTTATCACCTATGAGCAATCAAAGTTTCTCCCCTACAATATCATTAGAATAACTTTAAAAAGGAGTGTGGGACCCTTAAGGGTGGGAATTCAGCCTTTTGGAGTAAGAATAACTTTAAAAAAATGAGTTCCTCTAAAAAAAAATATTTAAAATGATAATTTAACCAATTGAGCTAGCCCCACAATTCTTTTGTCATTTATGTATCAAAGGAATAAAGAGAGTCAAAAAAACAAAATCATTAAATAATATTATCACAAGGTCGTGACTCATAAATACCCACATGGCCACATCATTATATTCCAAGAAATATCAAATATTATGAATTAAACATTATATGGAGGACAAAGTATTTTGATTATTGAGAATTTGAGATAGGAAAGATATATAAATTCATTCTTTGAAATATTAAGTGATGTAAATGTATTTATTAATTATATTTGGAAATGGCTATTTTAAAACTCCAAAGTTACACTAAATTACCTTTTTATGGGTATATTTATTTTATATATTTTTTAAAGAGTTTGCATTGAATTAACATTTGATCGATGTGGTCTTAGTTGAGTTGATTAGTATTTAAAATATATATATATATATATATATATATATATATATATATATATTACAAAAATTGTTGGACAAAGGTTGACGAAGGCAACCTTGTTTGGTTGACTTCCTTATCGTCCCAAGTTTAATTTTAATTTATTGTTAATTCAATTTTTATCTATTTTAATATGCAAAATGAGGCAATTGAATTTTCTATTTACTTGTGAGGTCCAAAAGATTTTTTTTTCTCAATGGGTGAATTGAACTATTCTAACTGCATTCAAAAAAAAAAAAGAACTATTCTAACTAGTTAGAGAACTTATTTGACACTTATCTCTATTTTGTATAATAATTTAACCCTAGGTTATTTAAACCTTAAACTAATTATGCAATTAAAAAAAAAACAAAATATAACTTAATCCGGTAGAAAGAATCAAAGCTATAGCCAACCCGGCCCAACCGGTGACACTGCGTAATTTAGCTGGAAGTTTGAAAATAGTTTGATACTATTAATATTTTTTAAAAGTCAAACAATTTTATTAATTGAATTCTCTATTTTTTTTCATAATTTAAAGTTTAAACCAATTGGAATTAAAGAAACTTTACAGCCGTTGGATCAACGCTGCATATAAAGCGGTCGAAGCCGCTGCTGTTCTTGTACTTTACGTAGTCTTCTTGAATTGAGAGATGGATCAGAAGCTGAGAATGGCGTTAGGCTGGACAACAATGGCAGTGGTGCTAACGTGCGCCGTGGCGGTGATGCTGCCGGGAGTGTCGTCGACACGGTATGTCGTCGGGGCGAAAATGGGCTGGACCTCGAACGTCAACTACACCGTCTGGGCTCGCACCAAACATTTCTACCGAGGCGATTGGCTCTGTAAGCAATTGTTATATCATGGATCTGGATCCATCTTACATTGTGAATTATGATTTCTAAAAATTAGTGTCTACAATTATCATATTATGTGCTTTTAATTAATAAATTATTTGTCTGTAAATAAATTAAAAACATATAATATGTTAATTACGTACACATAATATTATAATTGCTGACATATAATATGTTAATGACATATTATGGGTTTCTAATTAACATATTGGCAAATTTTACTGTGCACCATGGTTCCTGCAACAACGTGAACCATGAAGTAAGTACCATTCTGATTACACTTAAGTTTCATTTTTCACACATACTAATTTTTTTTTGTTTCATTTTCCACATACAGTAGTTCACTTATAGTAATGTTGAAGTATTATGTTAATTACATTTCATATTCATTTGACAATATATGTTATTGTATGGCTCTGGATTTTAGTTTCATTTTTCACACACACTAGTTTCATTTTAGCAGCACTAAAGTATCATTTTAATTATAATATAGTTTTATTTGACAATATACGTTATTGAATTAGTTCTAGCTATTTTTCAGTTTAATTTTCTACACACACTAGTTTCATTATAGTAACACTAAAGTATCGTTTTAATTATATTATAGTTTCATTTGACGACCATGATCTACACAACGTTGTATGGAGTATGGATCATGGTCCACTATATAACAACTGTAACATATTATGTGTCTTCAATTTATTTACATACATATAATCTTTTAACGGCAAACACATGACCCTGTTTGGTAACATAGTTAGCTTATCAGTCAATTTTGACTTATTTGACCACTATTAGTTGTTTGACTTGATTAAACAATCAATATGAGTGTTTGATTAATTTGCTTTTTGTAACAACTTATTGATCCAAAATGCTAAAATTCAAAAAGATGCTCAAAATAGCTTTTTTGATCAACTTTTTGAGGAAGTCATTTTGCACGTAATCAGCTAACAACTAATTTACTGAACATTTTTCTACAATCAGCTAATGTTATATCAACTAGTCAAACTTACTAACTCAATCAGCTAACAGCTATTTTACCAAACAAATCCCCCCACCAAAATATGTTAAATATGGATCGACACATAATATCTTCACAATGCAAGGTAAGATGGACCTTGGTCCATCATATAATTTACCCTCCGCAAGATTGTGATTGCCGTATCTTACTTCCTTTATTTTTTGTTCTTCATTTCGCATAAAAGAATTGATTGTAGCTAGCTTAATTAAGAGATTATCGAATTTGTACATGCAGATTTTGTATATGATAGGAACCGGATGAATGTACTTGAGGTAAATAAAAAGGACTATAAGTCGTGCAATTCTAAACATCCCCTTCACAACTGGACAAAAGGTTATGGAAGAGACGTGGTTCCACTTAACGTGACCAAAACTTACTATTTCATTAGCGCCAAGGCCAAGGGATTCTTCTGCCATCGCGGAACCAAAGTAGCCATTCGCGTTAATTAAAAATTAAAGCCGCCGGCCATACCTCTTTGGCTCAGCTCCTTCATAGCCATTGATTTGTGTAAGGTCTTCTTGATTTGTAGTTCCTTGGAGAAGCAAATAGCAATAATAAAAGCAACACGGCAACATTATTTGCAAAATCATCAATTGACCTGGCTAGGTGGATACAGCTATATCAACGGCAATATAATATAATATCACACCAATAACATTTTTTTTTTTGTAAACAATGTCTTGAATTTGACCTTAAAAAAATTACATTAATGTATAAAAAAGAATAATAATTACAAGTTATAGATATAAGCGGGTGCCCGCACAGGCTTAGCTCACTGATTTAATAAACAATTTTTGTAAGAAAAAATCAAAGTTCGAATTTTGACAGCGGGCCAACGACAGTGTGGGGATTATGTCTAAAGTGGACAGATTTTTTGTGTACACTGGTATTTGGCCCTGTCTGCTGACTCATTAAGTCACCAAGATTTACATTTTCTCAAATGCTCTGTTGGGTCAGGGTGTGGGGGACTCTTGAGATTGAGGATTCAACATTTTGAGAGAAGAAGAATATATAAGGCCGGATTGTTCGGGACTTGGGAGCTTCTTTTTTTTTTTTTTTCTTCAGACAATTGATTGTCACAGGCAAAGCAAAATATCCTTTCTCTAATCCAAAATTAAGATTACAAAGATTACAAAGATTTCAAATTGTCCTTTATATTATGATCGTTTTCATCAATTATGTTTTTTTTTTTTAACTTATTTTTTTATGCAATGCTATCACAAAAAACATAAGCTATTGACCCACGGAAGCAATTAATTAATAACATAAACAAGTTAAAAAAAAAAAAAAAATCTATTTGTCAATCATAGAGCGTGCTCCCATGGTTTTACTCTATAATAACTCACAAATATCGATCAAAGTCTCAAGGACTAAAAGATAGTATAAAAGGTATCTCAATGGATATTATCTATTAGTCTTCTTAGTTTGAGTCGATCAATTATAGATAACTTAAGATGATTTATCTTCTTTTAAAAGGCTGAACCCCAACCCTAAGGGCCCTCACATCCCGACCCGACAGAGCATTTGGAATAGGATGATTTATCTTATTACGATCTTTTGCAGATCACAATACGAATTTCACCCATAGCGCACTTTCAAATAACAGTTGTAGATTTTTTGTAAATAAAAAATGTTATAAAAGGAAGAGAAAGAGCCCTTAAGAATCAATGTTGGACATAGAGTAAATAATAACGTTACAACAAAATGCAAGGAAAATATATAAATATAAAAATAAAAGTGAGTATCTAAAAATGTTTTTCATTAAATTTCTTAAAAATATTAATTGTTTACTAGTTTCATTTAGGAAAATGAATTTTGAAGTTTTTGAAATTACAAAAATGACTTTATTAGTTATATATGCAATAAGCGTCTGTGGTTATAAACTACATATGGCTATTGTGCAACAAAAACTTTTAAAAAATAGCTACAATAGGCGTCTGTAATATGTTACTACAAACGACTTTTGTAACTTTTTTGTTTTTGCTCTATACGTTAGGCACTTAGGCGTTTTCGGTTTATAATTGCAAACGCCTCTTGTAAGTTATTAAAAAAAAAAAACCTTTATACAGTTATACTACAAATGTGCAAAGTTTCTGTATTTTTAAATGTGGACGTTATGAGTCTCAGAGTCTGCATTATTTAATTACATATGCGCAAAGTTGTTAGAAATTATAAAATTGTGATGATACATTTCTTTATGACTTTAGACATCTTTAGTTGTAACTAAAGATGCCTTTCTTACCTTTTTTTTTTTTTTTTTTTTTGGATAAATTCTCTACTAGTGTCACCTATGTTCACCTAGGTCCCAAGTGTCAAAGCCTTTTCACTTGTCCTCAATAAAATGTATTTATTCCTTAAGTTGAGCTTCAACCTAGCAATTTGCATTGCATGTCTCTAGAGGTCCAGACTTTAGCCACCATGAGTGGTCTTCATAAGACATCCTCGAAAGGTGTCCTCCCAGGCAAAGGACCTAAAATCGTTTGCTGAAGTTACTCATATTTAATATGACATTATTTGTAATTGTATGATTTATATTTTTCTTATTATTATTTGATGATAAAAGATTAATGATTAACACTAAATTGTTATAAATGAACTAAACTGTATAAAGTCACCTAGGAGGAATAGAGACATTCTCATTATTGAATATCATAAAACTCTAATTAAATGTGTTCTTTTTTCACGCTCTTAATATTCGCAAGAAAAATCGTAACACATAATTAGTACTCCGTAGGTTTTATGTTATGTCAAAAAAAAAAAAGATTTTATGTTATGCCAAACACTTTGTGCTCATATTGCATGTAGTGACTCTCCCTTATGGGAGATTATGAGTTGGAGCCTCAGTGGAGATGGTGTTGACTCTTTGTGCTTTAACATGTTGAGAAAGTATAGGTGAGCAGATATTACAATGTAATAGAGTCACTAACTTCAAAAAAAAAAAACAAAAAACTCTAATAAAACTAACAAAAATAATTGAAATAATAAGCTAGCATAATTAATACTCAACACTTCTAATTGGCTAAATCCTATTGTCCAGTAAATCATTTAGAGATCATAATTATGTTGATAAAAAGAAAATAAAAATAAAAAAGATTAGGTTGCTACATAAATATATGTTGAAAATTTTCATCATTTCTTGCCTAGTGGAACGCGTAGCAATGCACATGCTTCTATTACTAAAAGGAAACCTTCCCCACCGACCGCAACTGGCGGGGTGAAGGCCGTGTTTGGGGCGAGATTTATTTAATAATAAGAATTAATTTCACTTTTGGTCCACGACTTTTGAGCTCTTATCACTTTTGGTGCACAATTTAAAACTTTTTCAATTTTAGTGTCTAACTTTATTATTTTTATCAATTTTGGTCCTTTAAGCCAAATTGACGATGAAATGTTACCGAATTTTATATTTTTAGGGGTACAATTGTCATCCCAAGAAAACATACTCAATATCTAAACAAAATCACTATAAAATTATATTTATAGGTATTTGATCGATGAGAATAATGAGGAAGACGGGCAGAAACTATACACAGATCTATGAGATTTATAGCGTCGACGATTGGCAAATTCTTTTTTTCTTCTCTTAATATGATTTTTCTTTTATTTAGATATTGAAGATCTTTCGTAACATGTACACGTCCAATATAATCAGCAATAGAGGAGTCACCCTGCTTGAGATACTGAAGCTGACCGAGAAGATTAAGTGATCGGGCACGAGACGAAGAAGTTAGAAACTGCTCTATGGACACCCAAACCTCCCGTGATGTACGACGTCCAACGACGAGGTGCATGACTTCTTCGGAGAGAGATGAAATCAGCATTGACATCAATGCTTTGTTGGCATGGGCTGGGTTTGGTTGTGGTTCGTCGACGGTGACAACTGGCAAGAAGGCCGGCGGGCATGTGTTGGTCCCATCAATAAAACACATGAGCTCGTGTCCCTCTAAAAAGGGAACTACTTGCGTCCTCCAAAACAATAAATTTTTGTGAGTAAACTTAATACTGATAAAGTGAAGAGCGGTAGAAAGCGAATTGACAGACATATATGGAACCAGAGGAAGTAATTAATGGCAGCTTCAAAGACGGTCCATTCCGAAGAGTTAACAGATTTGTCAGCCATGGGAGCGAGAGAAAAAACCCTAGCTAGCTAATACCATATGACAACTGTATAAACTGTATTAGATGAACCGTGATTACAACTGTACGGATTGAGGGAAGATATACAAGAGAGAATCATATGAAGACTAGGATAGAAAGTCATAATCTGACTCAAATACAAAGAGTCATAATACTAGTCATACATATATATATATATATATATATATATATATATATATATATATATATATATATATATGTCCAAAAGTAAGCAATTGCAAGAGAATAATAATCAAAGTTAGATGAAATTATTTGAGTCCCCGGAAGACTGAAATCGATTAAAAGTAGAGTATATTGAATATAATTAAATTGCAAAATCTTCATAAGTAATGAAATATTCTATTTATATAGGTTATTGGATCCTAGTAAAGTTATTTGAGGCATGACTCATTCTCAAGCAAGGCCGAGGCCAATCCTCGATCACTCAAGGCTGAGGCTAGTCCTTGGCCATACCAAGTGAACATGGGTTTGGTCGAGGTCTAGCTTCGTTACGTATGACTTGACTTCTGTTTTGGTCCAGTTTTGGTGTTGACGCGTTAGGACAAAGATCAACTCCAAGCGTGTGGCTTTGGTTATTATTACTCTCAAGTTAACTCTGCTACATACATTCACAACTCGAAAGTAGGGGGCTAGTGACATGATAATTGAAAAAGTACATACGTCAAAGGTTCAACCTAATGCATTATTGTAATGGTTAAAGGGTTAAAGCAATCAAGCATCAATAGTAATGTCAAGAGTCCGGAGTTAATATAAACACTTAATACAAGAGTCGTTGCACTTAATGTGGGAACTGTTGCATCTATAACTAATCTGAGCAATTATTAGTTGTTGTATCCGTTATTAGCTTAGTATATATACTTAACTTCTTTTCCGAAACACCGAGTACTAAACCATTGAGCTAAGCTCATGCATACGTATATATACTTAACTATTATAACAAGTAGAAGACATTCTAAATTTGTACTGACCATTTCGTTCATTATTTATCAATTCTTTTAAATCTTTCCATTAATTTTTGAGAAAATGGTCAAATAGGCTATTGAACTTTGCACGATAAAGCAATTAGACCCCTGAACATTTAAAAGTTGCAATTAAACCATCAAATTCATTAAAATCAATGAAATAGGTCAAATTTACTGGTCCAACATGTTACCGATAAATCTACACCGTTGACCACTGTAATTGCGTTGACTGCCCTCCAAATCTACCGGAGAGGCAACCAAACATGATTGCCATCTCGGAGAGGTGACCAAATATGGTCGCCTTCCCCAGTCGCCAAAGAAGGCAACCAAACTGGTTGCCTTCTCCAGCAAACGAGAATGTGACCAGTTTGTTTGCCTTTTCCTTCCTTGAAAAAGACGACCAACTGACATCGACAACCGTTTTGCCGAAATTTGGTCAGAGGCTCACTGGAGTTTCGTTAGAACCTTGGTGGCCTATAATTACATGTCACCAACCGATTTTTGGATCTCAATGCTATAAAATAATATGTTTATATGTTTAATTGTAACATTTGAAAATTTAAGAACTTAATTAACTTTTGAATAAAGTTTGAGTTTTTTTTTTTTTTTTTTTTTTTTTTTTTTTTTTTTTTTTTTTTAAGATATAACGTTTGAAGTTCTATTTCACCTTTTATCCCTTAAATTTTCAGTGTAAAATCCAGTTAGTGTTGTCCGAAATGTCGGTTGATATTGATGGCTGAGTCCTTTGGCCTTGACCACCGTGTTCACTGTTCATGAGGTTGTGAATTATTTCATCTTGTCCCATATATATGTATCAAACTATCAAAGGAAAGAAAAAAACAAAAAAAAACAAAAAAAAAAAAACAATAGCATCAATACATGAATCGAGTATGTATCACAATTCACCAACCTGTGACTTCTAACTACCCAAATAAATATATTTCAAGGAGTATCAAATATCACGAATAAAAAATCAAATAAAACTCTAAAATATATGATACTAATTAAATTACATGTTATATTTATGAATCTTGAGTGGAGGTTCACAAGTCTATGGGCTTGTTTGGCAATCAGCGGTTAGTGGTTAGCGGTAGCTGATTGTATAGCAAGTTTGACCAGCGGATTGTATCAGCTGCTTGCAAAAAAAATGTTTGGTAAAATTAACGATTTACATTGACGGTTAACATGTAAAATGACCAAAAGGGTATACATATAATAATAATAATAATAATAATAATAATAATAATAATAATAATAACAAAAAAAAAAAAAGATGTGAAATTGTCCCACATCGAAAATCAAATTAAAAAAGGGGCGTTGGCTCCCTTATAAAAGGGAGCTCAACGCCCCTTCAATTTTAATGTTAATTTCTTGCCCATCCGATGCCCATCCCACATCGGATGGGCAAGAATAGAGAAGCCTGAGGCTCAGGCTTCATAAATGACAGTTTTTTTTTTCTTTTTTTTTTTTACAATTAAGGTGGAGGGTGTTTTGGGAAAGGAAAGTTCCTTTCCCAAAACGCCAACCCAACACGTTGCTATATGCAGCGTGTTGGATTTCAGCGGTTTGGAGCAATCAGTTGCTCCAAACCGCTGTTAACCAAACAATGAGTTTGGCGTTTTGACCATGGTCAAAACGCCAAAGTCAGCGGATCCGCCAAAATTTAGTGGATCCGCTACTAACCAAACATGGCCTATGTAAAAAGTATTTATTATTTGAGAATTTTATATCTATATCAACACTTTGAAATAAATAAATAAATTATTTTTCACAACTTTTTAAAACTAATATGTCATACATCCTTAGACAAACGAATTCATTCAATGATAACTTTACTTCTCTTGCTTTATTTATCCAATTTATTTCACATATCAATGAAATACTTTTTAACACTCAATTTTTTCTCACTTATGATGCATGAAGAGTTCTCTATATCCGATTTTGTAACATGTGAAATTTTAATTAATAAATATCATTGATCAGATGGAGAAATTTCAAGGAATCGCCTGACCAAATTAAATAACTGATTGAGGATGACCGCATGGGCCGAACATGACTGTGCAGATGAGGGGAACCACGATTAGGACTCCCGGGAACCACCAATCCAAAACTAAATAAATTAATAAATGTCATTTTTTCAAGAATAAATAAATAAATTGATATTTACCTTATAAATTAAACTAAAAACAAATGCATTATTCTTGTTTCCTTAAGAAAAAAGGTAATTTTTTCCTTAAATTTCATGTGTGCGTCTTATTCATAAAGTAACATGCATTAAAATATTTCTTAATATAAATTTTTATAATTTATTACCAAATTAGTTTGAGTTAAACATAATTTATATAATAGAAAATAAAAGTATTACTTAATATGGACATGGTAGAAAGAGTCCAAGCCATAGCCAACGGTTGATACTACAGAATTGAGCTGGAAGTTTGAAAATTGTTTAATGATATTAAAAGGATTAAAAATATAAATAAAAAATCACACTTTTTTATTATTTAAATAAAAAATAGGTAATTGTAGAATTTGTCTTCGTCCCTAAACTATAACTGACGTTACAAATGTCGTTTTTTTTTCTAGCGAAACATTAGAGAATTTACAAAGTGAGTTATAACTTATGCACGAGAAGTCCAGAAGTGAGTACGATTAACAAGTAGGGACGTATTTTACAATTATCTTAAAATTTAGAGAAAAAAAGTGTAATTTTTTTCAAATTTAAAATTTTATATTTTGTACGCATGGTTCAAACCAACTCTGGATCTACACTAAGCATATAAAGCGGTAGAACTCATAGAAGCGCTGCTATTCTTTTACTGGTGTAGTCTTCTTTGAGAGTGCGAGAGATGGAGAAGAAGCTGAGGATAATGGCGTTGGGGTGGCCGACAATGGCGGTGGTGCTAACGTGCGCCGTGGTGGCCATGCTGCCGGGAGTCTCTTCGACCCGGTTTATCGTGGGTGCGAACATGGGGTGGACCTCGAACATGAACTACACCGTCTGGGCTCGCGGCAAACATTTCTACCTAGGCGACTGGCTCTGTATGCTCTCTCTCTTCTCAGATCTACTCTTTCCTCCTCCCATTCTTGATAACTATATTCTTTTGTTCGATGGAAACGAGGTGTGAGTAATGTTAGTTGCTAAGGAGTAATTGGCAGGATGAACCCAATGTCTGATTTCTTTTTCGCTTTAGTTAATGTTGTTTTTTAAGGGAAATTGTTAAAGCTGTTAGCAATTAATGAGGTATGGTTCTGTATAAACTCCAATATGGCCTTTTTTTTTTAACATTTGAACGAATTATAATTCTCTGACCTGTCCTCAGATCTGCTGTTTAGTTGCGTCTTTTTCAGTTTTTGTACTTTCAGATTTACCTCCTGGCAGGTTCTCTATTGATCTGAAATTGTTGGATTTTTTTTTCTTGGCATCATATTTGTGAATCATTTGCTAAATTTTAAACATTTGCTAGGTGGGAATGCTGGAATGTAGTATATTCAGAAATTGGATTCTTTTTCTTAGATTTCTTCTTCTTCTTCTCTCTCTCTCTCTCTCTCTCTCTCTTCCCCCACTTTCAAAGCTGACCTTTGTGAAATAATTGTACCACTTTTTCTGAGCATTTGTGCAAGGTGTGAAAGGCAGAAACAGAGTAAAACCTTGGGGAAATTCCTGTTCAAGTTTCCTTTTTTTTTTCTTTTTTTTTTTTTTTTGTTCTTCTTGATTTGCTGCTGCTATCTTCCATGACTCTTCTTTTCCAGCAATATTTGCTTAAATAAAATCTGAATTTATTTTTTTGTATTAATACATTCCTCCAATATATTGTTCTTGATGTATAATATTTGAGTCATGGAAGAGGGTTCTACCTCCATTTAAGGCTTAAGCATGGCCACAAAATGTATTATTAATCTTTGGTAGATGAAATTAGCAATCAAGTTCCCAGACACATTTACTTGTGACAAAGGGAAAACAAAAAGATTTTAGGCAGTTTGAGAAGTAAGTGTAGCGCTTGAGTAATGAATTTGGTAGGAAGTTAGCTGAGTTACATTAGAAACAAAACAAACCAACAATTATGTCTGACAGCCTGTCGAAAATGGTCCACATCATTCCTCATCTGGGGCGATTCTGATCATATTGGAAAGATGCTTTATCTGTGACGCATGTTGATACTAGCTCATCTTAGCAGGCTCCTTCTCCCTGATAATCTAAATTCTACATTAATGCCTAATCCCTATCATGGATTGTCTTGTAGTGTCTTTCGTCCTTCATTTTTGTTTTTATTCCTGTTCTGTTACAATGTACTGCTTAGTTGGTAGTATAAAAGATTTGTTTCTAGCTTAAGTGATTCTCGGTTTTGTACTTGCAGTTTTTGTATATGATAGGAACCAAATGAATGTGCTTGAGGTAAACAAGACGGACTATGAGTCGTGCAATGCTGACCATCCCCTTCACAACTGGACCACTGGTGCTGGAAGAGACGTGGTTCCACTCAACGTGACTAAAACTTACTATATCATTAGTGGCAAGGGGTTCTGCTACGGTGGAATGAAAGTAGCCGTTACTGTTGAAAAGCTCCCACCACCTCCAAAGGCCGCCCCGGTGAAGAGCGGTTCTCCTGGTTTGCTCTCGACTTTCAAGGGTCAAATCGTCGTGCCAGCTCTGTTTGCCATTGCTGCTGTGTGGGATTCGTTTCTTCTACTGGCGTAGTAGGGTTCATCAATCATCATCATTCAAGAACACGCGATTTGGGTCTGTTGAATTGATTAAGTTAATTTGGAGCAACCCAACAAGAAATGGTTGATTTGTGTAATTGTGACCTTACTTGTATTTGTAGTCTTTGTGTTTTGTTTTTTCCAAGGTTGCCAACCATTGTCCAGCTGAAATTTTATTTGTTCCTTTGAGGTCAAATGGGTGGGTGGATGTAATTCTAATTCTAATTAAAATCTTCTTTTATTTGTTTACCTAAACTTGGAGAAATTAAATGCACAAATTGAGGAGATCTCTTTGACTCTTTTCCCATTGTTGAGGTGGTGTGCTACTAGCGCAATTCTGAATGGGGACAATGGCAAATTATACTATAAATCCGGCTTCACTTGTGAAAATTATTTTCAACTGACGAATTTGCAATTAACATATAATGTGTCTATACTTACAAAATTACAGGCAAATATGTTGTTAACAATATGTTATGTTTCTATAGTTAACAAATTATGTGTGTAATTAGTTAATTAGACATAATATGTTAACTGCAAACATATAATTTTTGAATCAAAATCCACAATGTATTGTGGACCCGATCCTTAACGACGTATAAATTGTGTATTTTTAGTATTGAAATTGTGAACTTTTAGAATATAAATTGTGTTTCTAAATCAAAACACATAACAATTGTAGAAGGAAATTTGTGAATACAATACATAGTGATCAAATCCTAATCTGTTAATATTGTGTGACTGTAATATTTGAAAGGAACTTGTGAATACAAAACAAAGTAATCAATTATATATATGTTAATATTGTGTATTCGTAGTATACAAATTGTAAATTTTTAAAAGGTAAATTGCGAACATTTGGATGCAAGGTGGATCCGAGTCTACAAAATAATCTACGATAACAATGGGGGGACAAAAGGTTGTTTATAATTTGTTTTGTTGAATCCCAATCTTATTGCTTCATTATACTTTATAATCCGAGAATGTATCACACTATTGACTAATGTTTACTCAATTGGTAGCAAAAATCTAGAAACGAATTTTTTTTTCAAGTCTTTATTCAAATTTCCCTCAAAGTTGTTATATTAACATCAGTTAATTCCACCATAGGTCCATTGTCTTTAGTGGTAATTCTAAATTTAGTCTCAAAGTATTGTTTTTGTCGTTTAACATACCAGACTATATTTTTTTGGATACTTTTACAGCACGTTTGGTTCACAGAATGAATTTTGAGGTAATAGGAATGCTATTCCATAAGGAATGAAATAGGCAAGGAATATAATAGGAATTGTATTCTATTGTTTGGTTTGCAGAAGAAATAGATTTAGGAATTATATTACAGTGTTTGGTTGATTTAAGGAATAGAAATGGAATATGTTTTAAAAGACATAAATACCCTTATAAAATATGTAATGGTGGCGATGGTGGTGGTGGTGGTAGTGGTGGCGGTGGTGGCGATGGTGGTGGTGGTGCTGGGGTGGTAGTGATGGTGGTGGCGGTAGCAGTGGTGGGGGCGACGGTGGTGGTGATGACAGTGACGGTTGACGGTGACGGTTGTGGCAGTGGTGGTGGGGGCGGAGACGGTTGTGGCGGTGGTGGTGGTGGTGGTGGCGGTGGTGCTGCTGGGTGGTGGTTCTGGTGGTGGTGGTGGCGGTGACAGTGGTGAGGGCGGCGGTGGTGGTGGGGGCGGCGATGGTGGTGGTGGTGGCGGCGGCGGTGATGGTGGAGGTGGTGGTGGTGGCGGCGGCGGTGATGGTGGTGCTGGCGACGACGGTGGTGAAATAGGATAAATTTATATATAGGATTAAAAAAATAGGTTAAAGAAAGGGGTAAAAAAGAAAATATATTCTAAAATCTATTCCTGAGCATTCAGTAATAGGCTAATACCAGGGGGCCCTAGTAATAGCTATTACCTTATTTGAGGTAATAGGCTATTACCGGGAATATTATTCCTGGTAATAGAAATGGTTACCAAACAAAGGAATAGGCCTATTACTGGGAATGCTATGTTATTCCCGGCCTATTCCGTGAACCAAACGGGCCATTAGTCTTTCTCATAACTTTTCCTATTTTTAGTAAGGACATTTTTGTCTTTTCATATTTTTCTTTTGTTATTTTTTCGATTTCAACCAGTTTAATTGGTATAGAACTTTAGGTAACCTCACGTGGATTATATATCCTCACTTTTCGTCTCTTTACTAATAAAACATTAGGGACAAAATTTTCAATTTTAGTATAACTCATGGACAAAAGTGAGCACGAAAGGACAAAAAGTGCAACGCTAATGATAACTTAGGGACGAAAAGTGAGCATGACAAATTCTACAATTACCCTATAACTTAGACACGAAAACTGTAATTTTCTCTAAATTTAATAATTAAGTTATTTATACTTACATAAGTTAAGGACTGTCTTTATTGATGAAGAAGTCGATCTATGGATTAAAACATGCTTCTAGACAATGGTACTTGAAATTGTCATCATTTGGTTGTGTAGAGATCACTGTTGATTAGTGTATCTACATGAAGGATTAATGGAAGCAAGTTTGTAATCCTAGTGTTACATGTTGACGACATTTTTCTAACTGCTAATGATAAAGGGATGTTGCGTTATGTTAAGGAATATCTTTCTAAGAAGTTTGAAATGAATGATATGGGTGAGGCTTCATATGTGATTGGAATAGAAATATTCTGTGATAGATCACATGAGATTTTAAGATCATCCTAGAAGGCTCACATTAACAAAGTTTTAGAAATATATAACCTGGAAAACTGCAAAGAAGGTCTTGCGATACTTACAAGGCACTAAGGACCATATGCTCACATTTAGAAGAACGAATAACCTGGAGGTTATAGGTGATTCGAACTCAAATTATGCCGGATGTTTGGATACCCGAAAATCCCCATTCGGATATATTTTTTCACTTGCTCAGGAAGCAATATCTTGGATGAGCTGAGTGCGATGGAGTCTGTCATTGCTACTTCTAATATGGAGGCAGAATTTGTAGCATGTTTTGAGGCTACAATTCAATCATCATGGCTGCGTAATTTCATTTATGGTTTGGGCATTGTTGGCACTATAGCCAAACCATTGAGGATTCATTGTGATAATACAACAATTGTGTATTAAGGAGAAGGTACAAAATCAAAAAAAAAAAAAAAAAAAAAAAGTATCAATAGTGCATATTGGCACCGATCTCATGATCACGGATCCGTTGACTAAGGGATTGGCGCCCATAACCTTCATTGGCCATGTTGGAAGGATGTGCATACTAGTAAAGTACTTGTATAACGGTTAACTCTGCCATACATGTATGGATTTATATTTGATTCGCACATCAGGTTGATGATATTCTTAGATATCTATTTAGATTTTGATTTTGTTATTATTGATGGTGATCACTTATTTATGCATAAATTCAGAAGTGATAACAATGGTCTTATTTAAGACATAAGGAATAAGGTACTTTTAGATTTTACCTTATTATTATGGTTCGAATTCTTATTAACTGTAATACATGGAAGGGAGCGGGACGCTATGTCAAGCCTGTAACCGCCATGATTCGGTTAATAAAGTTCGACAAGGTTGTGGCTTTAACATTTTCATATTAAGTGAGCTCAAATAAAGATTGAAAATTGTAAAGTCACACTTATATGAATCAAGTGTGAGATTGTTAGAAATAATTTATTCCTAACGTTGATTCATATAATAAAGCAACTAACTAAATAAGCTATCAGCTATCAACAAACAACTAATTGTTAAACACCCCCATAAAAGGAACATTATGAATCTACAACAAAATGAATAGAAACGAATATGATGTATACGCAATTTAGTGTTTATATGCATTAAAGTTTACGTTTATGAACGTATATAGCAAATATTATAAATATAGTACGTGATAAATATTAAAAAAATTTAATACACTTATTGATGTCATTAACGACTAAATATAAAATGACATCATTTTACATTAGTGTCCACTATGCAAGATGGATCGTGATCTACAATATAATTTACGCACTAATGAGTAGTCCTTATTCCATTTCAAATATATATATATATATATATATATATATATATATATAAAGAAAAAGTGATTACATTTATAACTTTAAGGAACAAGTAGGATATCCTATAACTTAAACGAATAGTTTTATTTTCTCCAAATTACTAAGCTAGGTTGAATTTGGATCTGTAATGTTTGAAGCCCATTTGATCAGAGAAATTGGATAATAATGAACTGGATGGGGGCTTAAGACTAGAAAATTTGGGCAAATTTTTCTATGATCATGTATCACATAGCTATGTAGATAAAATAACTAATGTGATATTTGCTTGAAAATATAAAATTCTTATATTTGATTTAGGTTACGTAATTTTTTGAGGGAATGTAACTCAACCTACACATAATATTTTTAGCCATTTGAAGAAAAGATGAGATACCCTTGACCTCCTTATTTATTCTCACGGTCAAAGTACCTATAAAATTCATGCATTATATTGTTTTGTTCAATTTAGTCATTGTACCTTTAATCTGTTAAATTTAGTCTTTCTACTTTAAAAAGTGACGAAACTAAGGACAATAGTTAACAGTGATAATATTACTGTTAACTAAGCTTACATGACACCAACATCATTGATATCATATCACGATATTTATATTCCAACTCATATATTATTTTATAAATATTTAAAATTAATTATTTTTACCACTAATATATTACATTAATATGTCCAAAATAAATCATTACAAGCATGTTGACATCAAGTATCTAAATCTCATTATGAACATGGTTGAAATTATTTATTTTGGGCATACTAGTTTAATATATTAGAGGTAAAAATAATTAATTTTAAATATTTATAAAGTAATACTCTGTATATGAATAGGAATATAAATATCATTATGATGTCAGCACCACGTAACTTAAAGTAACGATAATATTAACACCGTTAACTATTGTCTTTAATTGCACCAATTTTTAAAGTACATAAACTAAATTGAACAAAATAAAAGTATAACGAATAAATTGAACAAAGCACTAAAAAACATGGACCTTATAGATACGTTGACCGTATTCTCACATTCCATTGTCGTTTTTATTAATTTTGCCAAGTTAACCCATTGATTTTTCCTCCCTCAATACATACAATATTTCTCAAATTCAAAATGTTATATTTTTACTAATTTTTCATATTAACTTATTAGTTAATTATTTTTAAATTATTTATTTCTATATTTTACCTTTACA